ATATATAGGTATAGGTATATATATATATATATATATATATATATATATATATATATATATATATATATATATATATATATATATATATATATATATATATATATATGATTATATATGTATAGATATATATAAAATATATATATATATATACATATATATACATGAATATATATATATATGCATATATATATATTTATACATATATATGTATGTATATATAATATATATATATATATATATATATATATATATATATATTGATAAATATATTTATATGAATATATAGGTATAGGTATATATATATATATATATATATATACTATATATATATATATATATATATATATATATATATATATATATATATATATATATATATATATATATATATATATATATATATATATGATTATATATGTATAGATATATATAAAATATATATATATATATATACATATATATACATAAATATATATATATATGCATATATATATATATATTTATACATATATATGTATGTATATATAATATATATATATATATATATATATATATATATATATATATATATATATATATATATATATATATATATATATATTTATATATATGATATATATGAATATATATTATATATATATATATATATATATATATATATATATATATATATATATATATATATATATATATATATATATATATACATATATACTTAAACATATATATATAAATATATATATATATATATATATATATATATATATATATATATATATATATATGATTATATAGGTATATATATATATATATATATATATATATATATATATATATATATATATATATATATATATATATATATATATATATATATATATATATATATATATATATATATATATATATATATATATACAGTGGTGTACACTGGATTTTTAGATGTTTAAGTTTTGACACTTACATGTATTTTGCAAACTCCAAACTTTTGTATGTTCATCCTTATGTCAAATGAGAATGTTTTGCAAAAAGTTGTGGTGATTGGAGCTTTAGGGCAAAATAACCCTAATTTTTGGGCCCTCCCAGCCCTTAATGTCGGAGAAACAAAATCATTTCTTTCGTATTTTTATCTAAATTTATATTCATCAACGAATTTCAAATTTCATGCAATAACCTCTTAGTTTTCAGTTTTTATGACCCTACAAAGTTTACTGTCCCCTCAAATTGAAGGGGGTTAAAACTTTATATGGTCATAATTTTCGAAAAAATAAGAAATTATTGTATGAAATTTGAAATTTGTTTGAGAATATAAACTTAAATAAAAATACTAATAAAATTATTTTATCAATTTGTTGCTCTCACGTTAAGGGCTGGGTGGGCCCAAAAATTGGGTTTTTTTGTCCCCAAGCTCCAATTACCACAATTTTTTGCAAAATATCCTCATTTGTCATAAATATGAAAATACAAAAGTTTGGAGTTGGCACAACACCTGTAACAGGCCTTGTGATAAAGCGTCGGGCGATGTGAATTTTACGTCGTCCAAGGGCGATTTTGCGTGTAGCTAGGGCTATTTGCGTCGAGCAAAAATTTTTTTGTTTGAGTATATTTAAAGATATTTTTGAGCGGAATTTTAATGAAGTAATTTACGATTATTTTAACATTTAATAAAGTATTTTAAAAACCGCACGCAGTTGAAATAAAAGTTTGAATTTAAAAAAATTAAATATGCTCATTATTTGGAAGTAGAAAAAATTCAAAAATTAAAAAAAAGTTTAAATCTTTTAAGCTAACATTTTAATAAAATTATTCAGCAATAGCAACGTTGTCGATAAAATTGAACAAAAATACTTTCTTTTAGTTTTAGATTTTAAACTTAAATAATTATTTTACAGGGGTTTGATAGGTTTTAAAATTATTCCATAGATTTAAAAATATTTATTAACTGTTAGACGTATTTAAAGTATTTAAGAGTGATTTCGAGGAAACATTTTAAAAATTGGTGAGGGCAAATAAAAAAAAAAAAAGATTAATATCAAAACGTATTCTACTTGATTCAATAAAAAAGTACAGTTATTAAAATTTTTGTAAAAAGTAACTCAAAAAAATTACTTAAATAATAACGATCGCTTTAATGTTAAAAGTTACCGAAACTCATCGAAGCGTGCTCAAGAACAGCTGCTGAAAAATAAAACGTCAATAGTTTTTCGAATAATTTTTAAGAATAATTTTTAAGAATAATTTTTTCGCTGAAATATTTCTTTTATACCTATAAGATTTTTATTCTAACATTTTATTTTATTTTAATAGAAATAAAATTCCTTGTTAACATTAAAAATCTATTCAAAACGTTCGTTTAAGTTTTTTATTAATACGAGTGGTTGTGCTTGTCAACCGCTTTATGAAAATAAATAAATATTATATAAAATCGCTTGTAAAAATATTAGCTATTGCACAGTTTTTAATCGTACAATATTAAAATTTCCAGTTTATTACTCGCTGACTTTTTAAAAAGAAAAAATAATTATTTGAAAAACTTTAAATTAAATATTTAAGAAAAAAAAAATCAAATATTAGCATATTTTATAATCTTTTTTAAATTTAAATTATAATGTTTTTTATTCGTTTAGTATAGACAAAACGTGACAAACGTCGAGAAAATAAACAAATGTTTTTACATTTTAAAAAACGAAACATTCCAAAACATTTTTAAATAATAACATTTCTACATAAACGATTTAAAGTAGTTTTGCGGTAATTAAATAAATTGGTGCAGTTAACGTCGATAAATATGAAAAGCAAATAAAAAGAATTTAATGACGTCAAAAATCGCGTCGTGCTTATGCGTCGCGCAGTTCTTATTCATCGCCAGGCCTGCTGTAAGTGTCAAAACTCAAACATCTAAAAGTCCAGTGTACACCACTGATATATATATATATATATATATATATATATATATATATATATATATATATATATATATATATATATATCTATATATATATATATATATATATATATATATATATATATATATATATATATATATATATATATATATATATATATATATATATATATATATATCATTTTGTAAATAATACTGCAATAGTCTATTTTGAACTTTATATCTTGTGAAAAATTGTTTTGAAATAAAACCATGTTTTTGTTGGTATAAAGCTTTTTGAATACCTAAATGTATTTAAAATATGTCAAAATATATACTCTGTGTTAAAAAAATATTCATCTACTTATTTGTACGTTTTTCAATTGTGATAACTTTTTATTTGTCAAAGACATAAGCATAATTTCAACTGAATTATATCAATTAAACATTCAAGAAATATTGTACAAAAATAATTTTTCAAGTAATGAATAGAAAATAAAAAACAGCTTTTCAAAATAAAAATTGCACATTTTTCATATGAAAATTATACATTTAAAAAATTTAAATATAAATATAACATTTATGCTTTAAATTTTATTTATAAAATTTAAAGTTATTATTAAAAAGTTAAAAGTTTATTAAAATTTTTTTTGTTTAAAAAGTTTGTGTCATTAAATTTTTCAGCTTTTTGGACGTCATGGAACACTTGGTCAAGTTGTAATGTTTCATATGGCTATGGATTTTATAACAGAACTAGGATGTGTAATTCCACAAATGCTCAAGAACAATGTTCTGGTAACAGCACTGAGGTTGCTATGTGTTTTGTTAATCATACTTATGCAGGTAAATTTTAAAAAATTTAAAATTTTGTTTTTATTTTTTCATAAACTCATTTGCTTTTAATTATTTTTTTCTTTAGCTTTTTGGACCGCATGGAGCGCTTGGTCAAGCTGTAATGTTTCATATGACTATGGGTTTTTTAACAGAACTAGGATGTGTAATTCCTCAAATGCTATAGAAAAATGTTTTGGCAACAGCACTGAAGTTGCTGTGTGTTTTGTTAATCATACTTATGCAGGTAAATTTTTAAAAATTTAAATTTTTGTATTTATTTTTTCATAAACTCATTTGCTTTTAATTATTTTTTTCTTTAGCTTTTTGGACCGCATGGAGCGCTTGGTCAAGCTGTAATGTTTCATATGACTATGGGTTTTTTAACAGAACTAGGATGTGTAATTCCTCAAATGCTATAGAAAAATGTTTTGGCAACAGCATTGAAGTAGCTGTGTGTTTTGTTAATCATACTTATGCAGGTAAATTTTTAAAAATTTAAAATTTTGTATTTATTTTTCATAAACTCATTTGCTTTTAATTAGTTTTTTTTTTCCTTTAGCTTTTTGGACAGCATGGAGCGCTTGGTCAAGTTGTAATGTTTCATATGGCTATGGGTTTTTTAACAGAACTAGGATGTGTAATTCCTCCAATGCCATAGAACAATGTTTTGGTAACAGCACTGAAGTACAGGAGTGTTTTGTAACTAAAACACATGCAGGTGATTTAATACAATTTAGAATTACTAAAAATGAGTTTTTTTTACTTTTAACAAAGCAGGAGTTTAATTTATCTTTCTTCAAAAAATCCAGTAGTTACTTAAAAAATCTTATATATTTAGTGATTATAGACTAATATAAAGAAGTCTAGAGATATTAGAATGGTATAAAGAAGCCTTGAAATAATGAACATGTTTAACAAATTTTATAAAAGTTTTGTAACTTAATGTAAATGTTTTGCTATTTTATTTATTTTTGTTTTCAAACAAAACAAAACAGATGATCGAAAGGCATATGAAAACATTTTAAAAAAACAACTGGTTTAAACATTTAAATAGCTAATAAAATAAAAATAATAATAATAAATAATAAATTAATATAATGTAAAAATATAAATATTTTTATGTTTAAAATTTAAAATTTTTCTTTTTTAACTTATTTAAAAAAATGTGAAAATATTTTAAAATTATATTTTCTTAAATGTTAATTTGATTACCCTAGGCCAAGAGGCCACTACAGAAGAGGAGACTTCTTTATTGTGGTTATAACCGTCTCTCAACTCAATAACCTTGAAACACAAACCTTGACAAATAAGGCTACTGCACGGAGAAATAGTTTTAGAGCGGTACTACCGCAGTACTAATTAATATATTAAAATTAATATTTGTAATAAAATTGTTATTTAGTAAAATTGTTATTTGTAGTAAAATTGTTAAAATTAATATTTGTAATAAAATTGTTATTTAGTAAAATTGTTATTTGTAGTAAAATTGTTAAAATTAATATTTGTATTAAATTTATTATTTGTAGTAAAATTGTTATTTGTAGTAAAATTGTTAAAATTAATATTTGTAGTAAAACTATTATTTGTAGTAAAATTGTTATTAGTAGTAAAATTAGTATTTTTAGTAAAATTAATATTTGTAAATTAATTTTGTACCAGTAGAATTATAGTAAAATTATTATTTGTTTTAATTTTGTTTGATTTTTATTTTGTTTTGGCAAGTAATTTAAAATAGTCTTTAAATTCTAAACTAGTTTTTGTAACATTTTTTTATTAAATACTGATTTAACTTAATAAGGTCCAGAAGGGTGGTAATACAACTCTTATTAAAATATAGATTCTCCGTTATAGTTTCAAAATTTGATAATAACCAGGGTTCAAATTAAAGCTAAAAAATCTAATTGCTAAGTTTTTTTTTTGGATTTTTATTCAAAATACATCCTTACCCCTCTCACAATTAACTATTGAACAGTAAGGAGAGTTACGCTAGTAAAAATTGTATCTTTCGTACATAGTTTTGTAATTAGCATTTTTCTAAAAAAACATTACATGTTCATAATATCTTATAATATTCTCCTTTTGTGTGTGATTATAATTAGCTACTGTTATAATTTACTTCTTGAGTTGCTTAGTGTGATGTGTAAGAAACATATTACTTTTAAAAATTATTTTAAAAATATTAAAAATACACAAATTAATTTAAAAGTAATATAGTAAAATCATTTTTATATTAAATAATATTACTAAAAGTTTTTGTAATTGTTTTTAATTAATTTTGTGTTATTTCTTGTGACATGATACTTAAAAAAGTTAAAACGCAAAGGTTATAAGTATTACAATACTGTTATAAATAATATAAAATAGAATTGACAATGAAAACATTTTCAAGAACATGCACAATCAATAGACCAAACGAGTAAATCAAATAAAAAAAATGAAAGAGTAAACTTATTAGAATCCCCATTCTATAACCTAAAAAACCCATTCTTTTTTTTAATGGGTTTTTTAGGTTGATGTTTTCATTAAATTTTTTCCTTCAATTGTTTTTTGCTATAAAGTAAAGCTAAAGGAATTAATTTAATTTAATACAACATATTATTTTTTCATAAGTCTAAGTTTTATATTATTATTATTTTTATATAAACTTAAATTTTGAATTTTTTTTTTCTGAAAAAAAAATTTTGAAAAATTATATTCTTTAAATAAAAATTATATATTATTTAGTTTTCAGTTTACTTGTTTAGTGTTTTCTATTGCTTTCTAGTGTTTTTACTTTTTTAACTATTTTTAAGAAGCAAAAAATAATGTTAAATAATTTTACGAAGTTTAAAAAATATTAAACTATTATAAATGTTAGCAACTTTCTGAAAACTTTTTTCTTGCTTACACTATCTTCTACATCTGATATTGTTATTGTCGCTAGGTCTATGTTAGAATTTTGGGAAACCTTTTTTCTTTTTTCCGGAAATCAATGACAGTTTGCGGACAAACTTCTTACTTTATCGTTATACCATTTGTTCATAGCAGCATCTGCTACAAGTTTGTCAATCTTGGTATCGCCTTCACTTATCCAAAGTAGAGATTCCAAACGATCTTGTCCTAAACAGTTTCTCTAGTCATATTTTACCCTATTCATACAGGAAAATATTCGTTCTACCTTTGCATTCGTAAATGGATAAATTAAAAATATTTTAAATATATCAAGAATATTTTGACACTCTTTGATCAAATAATATTCTTTTTGATTGTTATGATTCGAAACATATTTTTTAAATATTATCCATTCAGTAAGTATATTATACAAGTGACATCCTGATTCTGAACAAATCTGAAAAACAATTAACAACTTCATTGATAGCTTTGTCGCCAAAAGTACTATCGTTTGCATTCAATGGCCAGTTTAAAACATCAAATAAAGCTACTAAATGCGCAAACAAAGATGATTTTTGGAGAGATTGAAAATGCATTTCCATACTTAGGGAAATATTTGCTAGTTGAGTAGTAACATGTACTATTCAAGAACGTTAATAATAACTTCGGCATATTGAGAAAGTGTAACATTTTGATAACAATATTTTGAATCAGTAATTTCTATATCTTTCTATATTTTAATATATTTCTTTATACAGTTTATATAGTGGGTCATGACACTTGTGTCATCAAGCATATTGTCTACGGAATTTTTAAGAAGAATTGCAGTCCATGTAAATTCTTGAACTCTTCTTACTGCTTATACCGGATTGTGAATATTGCTTTGAAAACCTAAACTCAAATGCCTAAGGGGAGATAAAATATCAAAATATATTAACAGATGAATAGGGGCTGACACATTTTTTCTCCAGTTTAAAAATCCTTTAACTCTGCTCTTTTTGACACCTGGGAGTCTGTTGTAGCTAATGATTCAATATGTATTATAAACACACTATAATTTTCATAATTTTTTCTGTCAATCCAACTGCATCAGAATTCTCTGCTGTTTAAAGAGATAAAAATTTTTGGGCATCCGTTTTTTAAATGAAAAATATAAACTAATTCTTGGTCACATACCGCTGAATCTGTGCTTCCGTCACTGAGAATGCAGTAGAATCTACAATTTTTAATCATTCAGTTGATTTTTTTTCTAATTATGGTGCCAATGTAGCCTGTAAATATTGGAGCTGCACAGTCAATACCATAAGAATTTCCTAAATTATGGACTTCATTTTTTTCTCTAATGTGATCAAATGAGGAAAATCTGTGAAAGGACACTCGTTTTGCCCAGTAATATGCAATGTGAAACTTTTTCCATAAGGATTCAGTGTCTTTTGTGGCCATTTTATCAAACGGCACCCAATTGGAGTACTATGAATAACATGCTCAGAAATTGACACCAAACTTAATGTTGTTTGTCTGTGAATTTGAATGGCCTCTTTATGTTGCGCACTGCTTAAATGTGATGCCAGGGATTTAAACACTTTTCGAATCTTTTACTTAAATTGTATTGTAATTGAATTACATCAAGCCCATTTAAATCATACTCAAACTAGCAATTAAAATGTCTCTCCCACATCTTTACTGGGGATAGTTTACTCCTATGATTCCTATTTGCATCAATTTTTGATCAAATTTAAAAGTAAATATATTAATGAAGTGTTTTTTTTATCACTAAAAAGCTGTTTGAATTGCATTGATACTATTTTTCTCTTCAACAATATTAAAAAAAAAATCATAAAAAGTGTTTAAAATGAATGAGCAATATTCAAATAAAGACTGGCATTTCAGGTTAAGAAATTAACTTTTTAATCAATTAACTTTTTTTTTCTTTCCTTTAATTTAGGAATAAAGCCCTTGAGATTTTAGGTTGAGAAATTAACTTTTAATCCTTTTTTTCTTTCCTTTATTTTAAATTTGTTAAGGTTCAAAAATCTCTTTTTTTAATTCTCTTTTTTTTTTCTTTTTTTCTTTTTTACAACTTTACCCTTAAGTATTTTTATATTACTTTTTCTGGATTTGAACATTTTTGCAAAATGGTTTTGATACTTTTATTAAATCTTTAATTTTTATTTCTGTTTCTATATTTTCCGTTTTTAAAAAATCTGTTTTTACAAACATTGCTGCAGTTTTCATTTCAAGTAAGTTTACAATAATTGTATAAGAACATTAAAAATGTTCAAAATTTCAAGTCTAAATTTTAAGTCTTCGAATCATTAGGTTTATTCTTTTTTTTTTAATTGTTTCAATTTCTTCACAAATTTTTTAAAATTTCCAGTTTTAAATTTAAGATTATTTGAACAAGAGAAATTTTAGAATAGTAAAATTCTGATGCTCAAATAGATTTTGTTTTAAATAAAATCCTAAAATTAAAGTTGCATATTTTTAGAAAATGTAAACCTTGATATCGCTTTAAATATTATGAAAACATTTTTTAAATGGTAGCCCGTTTTTCGTATGCTATTCAAAATTTCTTGTCAAAATAATTTCTAGTTAAAAGTATTTTAGGTGTAAGTAACATTAAATATAATTAGAAACATGACTAAACTTAGTTTAGAAATGTTTGGACATATTGAATATATTTATTAGTTGAATTTAGTAACATGACTAATGGTTGGTATGATTGACTTTTAAGATTTAGTTTATTGATTTTAAACTTTAAACTTAATTTAGTTTATTATATTAAATTTTAACTTTAAAATAGAATTAAGCAGTTATTAGTTTCCCTGCAGTAATTTGAGTAACCAAAATTGAAAAGTGCTTCACAAATAGCGAAAGTATCCGCGCAAGAGAGCAAAAAAAGAAAGCAAAAATATATATTACTTTTATTTAAAAGTTAAATTTAACATGCCATTACTTTATGGACTAAAGTTTACTAAAAATTAAGAACTTTACACAATAAAATTACAAAATTAAAAAAATCACGCAATAACATTTGTTCTGAATTTTTAATAGCCAAAAAAAAAAAAAAAAAGCTAATTAGAGGGGAAAAAAAATTATTCAACAAAAAAATTTTTAATCATGAAGATGAGGAAAGCAATTGCGATACACTTAATTCAAGCTCTGATAACTTACAAATGCTACACTTAATTCAAGCTATGGTAACTTACAAGTGCTCCACTTAATTCAAGCTCTGATAACTTACAAGTGCTATTGTTTTACTTTTTTTGCAACAAAAATAGTTCCATAAAGGTGACCAAAACAGAAATATCCATTCATATTTGCACAAAAAAGAGCTTCTAAGTATATATTGTAAAAATAGACTTTAATTTAATTTCATTAATTTTTTCAGAAAGGCTTTTACTAAATCCAACTCTAATTCCCCTTTTTTTAGAATCAAAAACTGATTCACCAATAGGTTTTTTTGTCGCCTATCTAATTATTTTGTTGTTTAAATTTAATTAAGCTTAAATAATTTAGAAATTTCTGTAACTTAAAAATAGTAAGGATGCTCTTTCTCTTTTATACAAGGTCCAAAAATGCATTGTTAATGTAGTTAGATTTGCATCTCTTTTTTCTACAAATAGTATCATGGTCGCTACTCAAAGGAGTTTTTCAAACTTGGCAGTTAAAGTTCCTAATATTTATTATATGTTTCTGAACCTTGTTTAAAAGAGAGAAGACATCATATAAGGAAGGAACAATAAAAGATTGAGCTTAAGAATGAAGTTGAGAAATAGGAGTAAGAATGAGAGCAAGTTGTCATTACAACTCTCTTCCAACTCTTTTACTTTAAAACATGAGATTTGATATTTAAAACAATTTGAATCAGTTTATGCTTCCTTGAATTCAAGTGATTACATATAAAGCAGAATAGTTTTAATAAAAATAAAGCACAAAAATAAAGATGTTTAGGTTAAAGTTTGAATTAAATCAGAAGAAAAAAAGCCTAAATCGTGGTGATTAAATATGTTTGTGTCTGCCAAAAGACAGAAAATATTTAGGGTCATTGTTTTATTACTTTCTTTATTAAATAAAAAAATATATTGCAATATAAGTAGATAAATTTAAAATAATATTAAATAAGTTTTTTTTGACTGTAAGGTTTTTTTTAATAAGGTAATATTTAAATGGCTGTAAGGTAAAAGATGACTAATAAAATAACAAAATTGATAACATACTCTTTTATTTATAAAGACTTGATAATAGTTAATAATCTATAATAGTATTTGTATTTTAAAAGAATATATTTTTGTTTAAATTTTTCTTTCTAAATTAGGCTCTATGTTGAATATTTCTTTTACTGCTACTATACAAAGGTAAGAAAGAATTTAGTTTACAATATGTGATGTATTAAGTATGAACTGTAAATATAAGTAATATAAATCCAAACTATAAAGGTTTTGATGTCGGTAATCTAAACTGTAATTCTATCTATTTCTTGAAAAACTCTTTAAAAACTGTTGAAATGTGATTATATTTACATGCTGCCATTTTTTGTTTTAGTAAATTTATGTTTTTATAACAACTAAATAAAAATATTTTTTGCTTTGACAGCTTTTAAACATGCAGTGTTTTATATTTGGGAATAATTATCTTACTTTGTAAAAACATTCATATAATAAATTCTACTTAAAAATAAAATTTTTTCACAAGACTTTGTATTTAAATGTCTAAAAGCTATTAATTTCACTATTTACATTGTGTAATAATTTTATTTTTCTCATTTGATTCATAATCTTGTTTCATTTTTTGTATTTGTGTTTAACTATATTGTTAGCTTAGTTTTGTACATTAAAATACATGTACTAATAAAAGGTTATTATCATCAGGTACTACTGTTGTTAATTATTTGTGGATAAACGCTAATATTTTCAATTTTCGTCAATGTTTAACATCTTTAAAATTTAGTAATAAAATTAAAAATTCTAGACCATTATCCTAAATATCTAAGATCAAGTATTAAAAACTTTTTTTATGTTTAACTGAACCTGACATGTTTTGTCATTTAAAACTGACTTTTTAGAATTTTTATGTGTGGTAATTTTTAAATTCATTATAGTGTCAAGCAGGCCAACAGCAGATGGTGACCTGTGGCAGTTTAGCCAAATTATTGCCAAAAATGTCAAGCAATATCTTAAAAGATTTCATATCTTTTGCATTTACTAACTGTTTGGAGAAGGTTGTTTCATTTTTTTTTTATAGTGAGGGAAGGAGCACTTTGAGTGTCTTGCGGAATTCACTTATCCTTAACTTAACTTTGAAAATTGATGTTAAGGCTGGCAGTTTCTTGTTATTTTCCAACTAATTTGTGAACAACTTTGTTTGGCTGGAACAATTATTAATGGTTAATTATTAATGGAATAATTGTATGTTATCAATGCTATGTATTATTTTGCATTTCTAAATCATATCGTCATGTTCATGTCTAAAATGTTAAAGAGAGATTTTTAAAAACTTGCATCTTTATTCATAGTCTGATTTTTTGATTGCTTATATGCAACACCCTGGAGGTAAGGGTTTCATGCTTGCACAGCAAATTCAAGGTGTAAATATATGTAGCAAGTATATAATTTCTTCTGGGAATAAATATCATGGCTGATAAAAGCATGTTTCAATTGACCAACTGTTTTTTTGGCTGATGAGGCAGTTTTGATGAGGATTTAAGATTATCAAGTATTAAAACACCAACATTTTGCAGTGTTGTAGTTATAATTAGTGCACTTAGATCAAAGATCATTTTCAACAAATGCATGGCATTACATTTATCAATATTTAAACACATAAATCAAGTATTACTCCAGTTAATAACGTTGTCTAGAGCAGTTTGGATTTTACTTTGTAAAATAACGTGTTACATATTTACATATTAAATATTTAATAAAGTAAATAAAATGTTAGTGTTTTGCAATAATAAAAGAATAACAAGGTTTAAATATAAAAATTAATAATTTACAAAAAATTTCTTTAATGTAATAGCAATTATCAGATAAGATAATAGCAGTAGGGAAAGTGTGCAAAAGTTTAGAAACACCTTTTTTTTTTCACTTTTTACTGCATAACTTTTACCAAACTTTTGTAAATAAGCTAAAATTTTTACCAAATGTGCTCTATATTATTTAAATTTAAAATACAAACCACAAAAGTTGTAAAATTGAAGTTTAATTAACTTTTATTAGCTTTTTTGAATAAAGTCTCAAAGGATATAAAGGAATTAATTATAAAAGCTGTGGGAAATAAAATGACTTACAGGCAGATTTCTGACCTTTACAATGTTTCTAAACCAAGAAAAAGTCACATTCTGAAAAGATTTTGTTTGCGCAAAACTATTGAAAGCAAACCTCGCTCTGAAAGACCTAAAGTTACATCTGAAAAGTCTGATAGATTATTAGTAAGGTATTCCAAAAATTATCCTTGTAAGACTGCTGTCGAACTTAATTCATTTATGCATCAGTTTTATGGCGCAAACTGTAGCGTCGATATAACTAAATTTCAATTATGAAAAAATAATCTATAGCCATCGTCAAGTTAAGAAATCGCTAATATCTGCAAGAAATTTAAAAACCAAAATATAATTTGCAAAAGTTCTGTCGGTTAATAACTGACAAAAAATTTTTTGTCAGTTAATAACTGATCAAAAGTCTTTTTTTCTGATGAATCAAAGTTTATGCTATTCAGTAATGATGGAATTAAGTATGTTAGGCGCCCAGTAGGAGACAAATTTAATCCAAAGTATCAGTTACCCACTGTTAAACATGGAAAAGGAAATATTATGGTTTATGGATGTTTTAGTTGTAACAATGTGGGTCCTATTCATCACATAGAAGGTGTTATGGACCTGAGAGTTTATTTAGATATCATAAAGAATGTTATACTGCCACATGCAAAGCATAAAATAACTTCCAAATGGATCTTAATCAAGATAATAATCACAAGATAATAATCCAAAGCATTGTGCCAGATTTGTTAAAGAATATTTTAAATCAAAAAAAATCAAAGTTCTTGAATGGCCTTCACAGAGCCTAGATTTCAATTCTATTGAGCATCTTTGGAATACATCAACCGGCAATTTGTTGATAGAAAAACAACTAACAAAGACCATTTATTAAAGAATGTTGCATTCATTAAAGAATGTTGGTATATTATTTCTCAGGATGTTCTCATTAAATTAATAGATTCAATGCCTTGTGATGCTGTTTTAAAGGCAAATGGATATGCAACCAAATACTAAGTGTTTTATTAAAACTATTTTGTTGTTAAAAAATTGTTATTTTGTGAATTTAATTTTGTAAAAGTTTCAGCTTTTTTGAAATAAATACTAATCAAATTCAGCTGTTTCTAAACTTTTGCGTGGAAGCTTTTTCAAAAAAATAATTAAATGTTTGTTAACCGTTCAATTATACAACTTTTGTGGTTTGATTGAAATTATATAGATATATAGATACAAGGCCTGATGTGTGTATATATATATATATATATATATATATATATATATATATATATATATATATATATATATATATATATATATATATATATATAATACCTAATATATATATAATACCTAATATATATATATATATATATATATATATATATATATATATATATATATATATATATATATATTTATATATATATATATATATATATATAAAATATATATATATATATATATATATATATATATATATAAATAATACCTAATATATATATATATATATATATATATATATATATATATATATATATATATATATATATATATATATATATATAATACCTAATATATATATATTAGGGTGGTAATATATTAGGTATTATACCCTAATATATATATATATATATATATATATATATATATATATATATATATATATATATATATATATATATATATATATAATACCTAATATATATATATATATATATATATATATATATATATATATATAATACCTAATATATATATATTAGGGTGGTAATATATTAGGTATTATACCCTAATATATATATATATATATATATATATATATATATATATATATATATATATATATATATATATAATACCTAATATATATATATATATATATATATATATATATATATATATATATATATATATATATATATATATATATATATATATATATATATATATATATATATATATATTAGGGTAGTTCAAATTTGGGTCAAAAATTTTTTATGACTAGAGTGGAAGTTTATAAGGTGCACAGACCCTTGTTTTATATATAAAACTTTTTTTTTTTTTGAAGTTTAAGAGTGGCACACGGCTCAAAAGTACTTTTTTTTTACCCTTTTTGACGTTTTTCGACCAGCGTGTGCCACCCTTAAACATTATTAAATTCAAATTATTATTTTTTACATATTCTTGCAAGAAACTATGTAAAAAAATAAAAAGGCACTCTATTCGTATTTTTTTTTTTTTCAACACTTTTCTTCATTTTAATGATCACGGTAGCTTAAGTTGCTGCCTGTGATAAATATGTAGACATGGAAAAAACTTCAAAACTACGAATAACTATACTTATATCAATGTGTGATGCCTTGAAAAAATTCCAGTAATCAAAGCCTGAGATCTAGAAAAAACGTAAAACTTAGCCCCTCTCCCTACCCTAAAGGCGAGGGCAATGAGTTGTCCAAATTTATAATGTTATTCTGAACTAAATTTACATTTATCGACAGACTTCAAATTTAAGATAGTACAACGCTTTTGACATGAGTCTTGCATGATGTATTGTACCAGGAATACGAAATTTGAACCTATCTTTTTGAAAAAGTACGATCAAAGATAGTTCCGCTAACTCTTGATAATCCTTTCTTGATTTACCATCCTAAAAATAAAGGATTTTTTATATTTATGGTTATGATTTATTTTATTATAATTGTGTATACAAATTGTAATTAACCTTTTTGTAGATCCTGTTATCTATTACATCTCTGTAGAGTTTTTTAGCCTCAAGATTTTGTTTATTTATCCAAGTTCCATTTGGAGTTTCAATCTTCTTCATTGCAACAATGTCTTTTTGAAGATCATTCCAGACAGATTTCAGGTGTTTAAAGATCTGGTTTTCTGGACCAGACATTTTACTACTGGGATATATCTTGTTAAAGTGGGTAATATATCATTCCAATATATGATACCTACAGGCAAGGAAAGGTAGTGGCCTTCCCAGCTTATTGGCCATTCTCAATATAACTCCTTGGTGCTTTCCAGTGTTGGAAGCTGTAGTATCAAAGCATATAAACTGTATATGATGACTAAGGCCGAATGAATCTAATAGATTATAAA